TATTGAGTTGATAGTGAATTTCAATTAATAGTGGGATCTACTGTCAATCTAATGACGGAGAATGATAAGATAATTGATTAAAGTTCATGTAACATTGTGGCTGTACTAAGTTTAGAAATAAAAATTGTTTTTATAAAAAAAAATATTAATAAATTGTATTAAATTCAATTTTCCCTAATTGACTCTTATTTTTTCTTTTAATCTAATGTCCTGTGCACTAAAACTTGTCTGGTAGTAATAAGTTTATTTCCAAAAAAAAAAAAAACTAACACTGCCAAATTGGCTGAAATTCTATTTTTCATTTTTAATTTTTTATTTTCCATTTTCCATTTTCCATAAAACAATGATGGAGGGTCCTCATAAATACTATCAATGAATCTGCAAAAGTTGCCAGCTTTAGGTACTATGAATTGTTTGGCAAAAAAGCATCTAACTGCATTCAATTCTCCTTAAGAGACTCAACAAAGCCATGAGTGTGCTATGTGCAAGCTTCCACCTACAACCCTATTGTGACCCAAGACAAACCCTACCATACCAAAAACACTAGTGCACTAAAAAAAACACTCACAAATTTTGGAAATTTCCCTAACAACCACCACCATATCCTTCTAATTCTGCTTTCCCAATTAGAAATGGTGAGTTAAATATTCATTGATCAGGAGAATGGAAGGTTTATACATAGACTATAATCAAAACCTCCTACGTTTAAAATTTTGTAAGTCTAATTATAACAATGAAAAATTATGTTGATGGAAGTTTCGTAAAAAAAATAGTGTAAATTTCATTTTAATGACGAAAATTTCATGCACTCGAAAGTGCATAAATCTGGCTTTAACCATGTAAAACCCATGCACTCAATTGTTTACTGTCATTTGTCAAGGACTATGGAAGATCAAAGAACTACTTGTATATGATCTAAAAAAGAGCTAGTTGTACATGAAAAAGAGTACCAAAAAAACCCAAAGAGAATGACAAGAAAGTAGAAACTCTCATTCATATCCGATCACAAATATATATATGAAGTTCCTTTTATTATATAGCGAAGTTACTTGGAACCATAGCACAAAGAGAAGTGACTGAGCCATAAGCACTTATATTTAATCACTTACAACTAGTATTATTAGCTAATATAAACACATGAAGCTTTGATGCCACCTCTTTGATTCTTCAACACATGACATCCTTGAGAAGCTTGTACCTGCGAGTAGTAGGCCGCGGCGACGGTGCTCCAGTCGGACTTTTTCCCTTCTCGGTGCTCTCTTCACGATCATGTTGCTTGATCTTGTCGCCGGAATACTCCGATCTGTTGGTGGTTCCGGCTTCATTTCCGGCCGCTGGTTTCTTTGAAGAACCGCCATGTCTGGCACTTCTCTGCTCACTTTGGCACCAATCACAGTGTTCAATCGGCTCCGATGATTCGCTGTAGTAGTTGCTGCAATACCTACAAATTCAAGAAGAGTTTAAGCACATATATATAATTGTATGTAGTTTACTTAAAATATAACTAACAAACAAACGTGGTATTGTTAATTAGTATAATAGAAATGATTTTGGCATCAAAATAGAATAGTGTGTGAGTGTGTTGTGGGTGAGGGGGTGTGGTGGTGGTTGTGCTAGAAGCCTAGGAGTAGGATGTTACCTTGGAGCATGGTGGTGGTGGTAGTAGGTGGTGTTTTATGCTGATGGGTATGGATGATGTGAAAGCCTTGTTGTCACTGTTTATATTATTTGGGGAGAAAGAAATCATAGAATTTTCATCAATAAGCACAATGATCCAGGTACTACCAGATGATGATTTTGAATATGGTGAGAAGTAGGCTTCTTTCAATCAAAATCAAGGACACCCATCTTCATAGACAGGCTGCTTCTTCTTGGCAACTTCCAGGCTCTTNCCAGGTACTACCAGATGATGATTTTGAATATGGTGAGAAGTAGGCTTCTTTCAATCAAAATCAAGGACACCCATCTTCATAGACAGGCTGCTTCTTCTTGGCAACTTCCAGGCTCTTATTTTTGCACCTGATGTAAATTCGGTTTGTTGTTTACTGGCTTCGTAATCTATGGGGAGAGCAAAATGCAACCCCCCAGACTTCCTCTGCCTGCTTTTGTTGGACTGTTTGTAGGTTGTTGCAGTCTTGTCCTTGTGTCTCTGTTTTTGTTCTGTTCCCCTTTGGGATTGTGTTGCTATGTACATTTGCATACTCAATATATCTTCTTGGTTTATTTACCCAAAAAAAAAAGCTACATCCTAATAAACGATAAGGTATAACTATTTATGATTGATCTCAAGATTATTGTGATCAATTATGAAAACCGTAACTTTATCCTTAAAAAATATATATGAACCTTTAAAATTTGTATTTCTCATCATCGATAAAAATATTTTATTATCGATCATTATTCCTTGAGTCTTAACTTAGATTCTCACAACGATGTAACCTTTAAAATGATAACTCCTTTCGATACCATAGCGGTCCCCTAAAAAAGCACTAAGCCAAAAGTTTGTGGGTTGATAGGATTGTGTCTTATTGAGTTGAAAATTCAAAGCTTTCAAATGGATTTTTTTTTTCTCCTTTTCAAATTTCAGGATATAAAAAATCTTGTATGAATTCCAACTTGGAAGGCCAATAATATAGAGGACAAATTATGGACTGCCCTTGTGGTTGCCCCTTTACACATTGCTTATCATTTTAAAATTGAATTTGACCATTCTACTCTCATTACATAGAAAGAGAAGACAATCTGATGAGGGTAATATCTCTCCTCTAAAGCGCTTCATTTGTTAATCACCGGTGGTAACTTGTGCAGGCACGGTGTATCATAAGTGAAAGTGATGAATTTAGGAGGATAAATTCAATGTAAATAATTTTAAGAATATGTTGGTGGTCGTTGGACAAATTTATTTGAAACTGTTAGATATATTTATTGAAGTCTGTCTTGTTTTATATTATAAAATGGGTGTAGGCGGGTAGACCAAAAAAGAAACTTCGTTGAATACATAAATGAAGCTGTGTGTTTTGATAGTCTTTGTGCTGAGATTTAGTAGTGCTTTTTTTTTTTTTTTCATTTTTATAGTATTGCGTACATGCCCTTTTTGCAAAACTATTGCAGATTCATAAGTTCAGGTTGATCTCATATGGAGTCATATGAAATATGATGAGCTGGGATGCTCTAAAGGCTTGAAAATTTTGGTGTTTGGTCAGGTACATTCGACCAACGGCAGACCAGGGAAAGTCCCTTCTTCGCAAGACTTGGAGAAAAATTGTAGGTATGATATGCAAATACCAATAAATATTATTTGGACCAATTTGTTGAACTAANGACCAGGGAAAGTCCCTTCTTCGCAAGACTTGGAGAAAAATTGTAGGTATGATATGCAAATACCAATAAATATTATTTGGACCAATTTGTTGAACTAATCAATCATGCTCAGCGAATTCGCAATGGATTCCATCCAATATGAAAGGTCACTCTCAATTTAATGACAATGATTGATTAAATTAGCATACTAGGTCAAATTATTATGAAAAAATTATACTCAAATTCTCTGAAATTTGTCACTTAATCACCTAGACTCCCATAATATTTAAAATATTACATACAATGCGCGTAACATATAGACCCTTGCCGTTAAATATCCGTTAGTAAATTACATTCAAATCTCTGAATTTTGAAATATGTAATACTTAGACCACTTAAATTTAAAATATTACATTTATACTCCAATTAAAGATAGAATATCAAATATTTTAAATTTTACAACCAAAATTCATATTCTATTATATCATTTGTTTAAATAAAATCAAAAATAAAATTTTATTTTTAAAAAAAAAAATCATAATTAGTACTGTTGATACCAAAATTTAGACAACCTTCACGTCAGTTTGGATTTAGATTAGATGGACTTTTCACATTGGATCAATTTTTTCACCATCAAGTATGAAACATATGAAATAAGCCTAATCAACACATTTGCATGTTCTATTATATCATTTATTAACAAAAAAACCAAACAAAATCTCAATTTTTTTAGAAAAAAATAGTAATTAGTATAAATATATTAAAGAATTCAATACAACACTCATTTGTATACAATTATATTATCTATTAGAATAAAACTAAGAAATCAAACAAATGATCAAATTGTAATTTACTAACAGATATACTAATCGAAATTAATGACAAGGATCTAAGTGATATACTAGTACAAACTTTAGGGGGTTTTGTGTAATATTTTAAACATTAAGCGGTTTAAATAATTAAGTAACAAATTTAAAAGAGTTTAGGTGTATTTTTCCAAATTATTATTGCCAAACAAAAACAAGGGGTGAGCTTTTATTGTATATTGAAGTGCATTTTGGGTACGGGGTGTAACTGTGTTGTTGTGTTGTGTAATTTTCGTGTCGTATTACTTTTGTTCGTGTTATTTTTGTGTAGTATTANATAATTAAGTAACAAATTTAAAAGAGTTTGGGTGTATTTTTTCAAATTATTATTGCCAAACAAAAACAAGGGTGAGCTTTTATTGTATATTGAAGTGCATTTTGGGTACGGGGTGTAACTGTGTTGTTATGTTGTGTAATTTTCGTGTCGTATTACTTTTGTTCGTGTTATTTTTGTGTAGTATTACTTTTAGCAGGTGTTGGGTTCATATCAATATTTGTGTCAATAAAAAAATTATTTAATTTTACAACAACTGGTCATATAATAACTATTTTAAAAATTATAAAATATTTATTTTTGTCTACAATATTCATTAAAATTTTATTTTTTATCTACAATACCCATTAATCATGTTATTCGTATATAACTTTAATTTAACTCAATTATTATTCAATATCAACTAATCTTATTATTTTAAAATTTTGTATCCAGTTGGTATAAATAGATAAAATTAACAATCCTAACTTTGGGTATNCCATTAATCATGTTATTCGTATATAACTTTAATTTGACTCAATTATTATTCAATATCAACTAATCTTATTATTTTAAATTTTGTATCCAGTTGGTATAAATAGATAAAATTAACAATCCTAACTTTGGGTATTAAGTTGTTCACTTTTTGCGGGAGTCACTCCTCATCTTCAAAAACTGTTGCGTGAGTGACAATCTCATCAAATTACAAGGCGAAGTCAGCGTTTTCAGATGAGATTGGTACAAACTATTAGGGAGTAAGTTTTAAAACCACAGGTGAGTAATGTGAAAAGGGAACAAACCACGAGTGGATAACCCATACTCTGCCTTTGCCTATGTATGTATATATAACCATTGGGAAGTGTTCGAAGAGCGCAAAGCAAGTCTTGCCAATACCCATTGCTTGGCATCCATTGTTTCGATATTGATTATGATCATGTCGTTGGTCGTAGTGATGATCAATGATCAAAGACCCAATAAGTATCTCCTTGTCTTATTTGTGTTGTTTCTTTTGAGCATGAAATGGGTTGGCCCTGGTTTCAGTTCAGGAGCTGGAGATACCAACTTCATCCGGTGCAGGGAGAGTGAGAGACAAGAACTCCTGACTTTCAGACAAGGCCTCGTAGATAATCGTGGTCGTCTCTCTTCTTGGGAGAGGGAAGAAGATAAGAACGACTGTTGCAAATGGAGAGGAGTTTGGTGTAGCAACCGAACTGGTCATGTGATCAAGCTTGATCTTGGCGGTCCATCTTTCGGGCCTCATCGTTCTGGTCTTTCGGATAAGCTCAGTCCTTCGCTGCTTGAATTGAATCACTTGGAATCAGTTAGACCTCAGTGGCAATAATTTTGGTATTCCAATTCCAAAGTTTATTTGTTCCCTCACCCAACTAAAATACCTCAATCTCTCTAATGCTAATTTCCGTGGAACTATTCCTTCTCAGCTTGGAAATCTATCCAAGTTGCATCATCTTCATCTTGGAAGTTTTCGTTACCACATGAAGGCTGAGAATCTAGACTTGTTGCTTCATCTATCGTCTTTGACACATCTTGAGATGAGCAGTGTAGACCTTAGTGGAGCTATTTATTGGGTAGACATAATTAAGAGGCTCCCTTCCTTGTCAGTCTTGCTTTTGCGGGAGTGTAACCTCTTCAGTGTCACCTCTCCGTCGATTTCCTTTGTTAACACTTCTGCATCTATTTCTACCCTTGATCTTTCATATAACAGTTTGGATTCCACAATGTTTAGGTGGTTGTTCAACTTAAGTAGTACCCTTTTTGAACTTAGACTTGGTGCAAACCAGTTAACAGGATCAATTCCAGACGCTTTCAGGCACATGACTTCCCTTCAATATCTTCAAAGTTTAGATCTGTCTGGGAATATGTTCAGTGGAAAACCTTCGAAGTTGTTACACAACTTGCGTGGAAGCAACCTTGTTGAACTTCGACTTGCTGCAAACCAGTTAGAAGGTCCAATTCAAGACGCTTTCGAGAACATGACTTCTCTTACCAATCTTGATCTTTCTTTTAATCAACTTGAAGGTGTGATTCCGAAGTCCTTAGGAAATCTCTGTAATCTTCAAAGCCTAGATTTATCAATCAATTTTTTCAGTGGGAATCTTCCACATTTCTTACACAACTTGTTTGGATGTGCTGAGGATATATTAGAGTCCTCGTTCTTAAATGAAAACCAACTTACAGGTCCATTGCCAGATATTGAAGGTCCAATTCCATCAGAAGGCTACCCAGTAGCTGAATCTACTACCCAGTAACTCATGCCAGTAGCCACCCTATGGATAGCTTGCCGGTGGACTGGTTGGCGGTGGACAGGTGAAGCTTTGACAAAGCTTGCCCAAGCTTTAAATTATGTTCCCTTCTCCTTGACTTATTTGACCAGAAAACTCCCTATAAATAGGAAGCTTAGTGAAGGCAAATGACATGGTTCAAGTTCAATGAGGAAGAAACAGAGAGAGAGATTTGGGAGAGATCTCAGTGAGAATTTTGTTTGTAATAATTCTTCTATTTTATTTCCAGAGAGAAATATAAATATTCTCTTTATTTATATCTTATTTGTGGTATTTTTTTGGCCCTGGGTATCCAACAAGTGGTATCAAAGCTTTGGATGGGTCGCCGGAAAATTTTTCTATCTCACTGTTTTGGTTCGTACGGGTTCTAAAGGAACTCAAAATCAAATTATGATTACACCGTTGGATTCCTCTTGTCGAAACGAGTCGAACCCCATTAGCCTCGCATCAATCCAACATTGTACGCGCTCTCACGGTCCTC